CGTGCAGGTATTAGTGCACAGTAGTCGTGTATTGAATGCAAGGACAAGGCTCAGTGAATCGTTATTACCATAGTTTGTCAGTCCAAACACTGCATATCCCTTAACTTTCGTGGCCTTTGCGCATCTACAAGCCAAGTCAGGCAGATAAGCGTTAAATTCTTGGTAAGCGTATTTTAACCCACTCCATTTGGAACTGGACGATTTACGGTCTGTGAATAAAAGATCGGATAGAGGGCTGCCTTTTTGAGTTTTTTCCTTGTAGCACCCTATCCTCTGGAAACTTACGCCAGGACATCTTTGGCCTTGAAAAAAAAAAACAAATCCTTAATGCAATACATAAATCCTTTATAGTTTCTATAAGTTCAGTCTTTTTCGATCCTCCAGTTTTTATTTATTTTTTAAGATAATAGATTTGAACTAATAAAACTGATTTGGGGGTGAGGTAAGCGTGAAAACGAATAGCAAATATTTTTGACCAAACAAGTAATCATTTTTGGTATCAGCTTAGAGGGCTGATATGTATATTTTTTCGGAGGATTTAACTTCCCTTCAGGAGTTCAAACATTGCTTTTTTGAATTTGAACTATGCCTCCCCAGTACTAGACTCTGAATCTTGGCGCACTGTTTTGTCTATGATTAAAAATGTCTCTAAAAATACGCTTACCTTGTGTCGGTGATGTGAACAAGAATAGTGAAAAGAACACTACAAGATAATTCACTACCATAGATGTCTTCTTGTTCGTCATGATCATGACAATAAAACTGTAAAACATAACATTCAATTTGATATAAAATAGATATTAATATGTGAGCTTAACTGCATGCTACGCTCATACTAATTTGACCGAGCAAAGACAATGCTTTTGAGTTTCTTTGCGATGTCAGATTTACTTTAGATTTTTCTTACAGCTTTTCTTGCAATTTCGGAACTCGCTCGATGTTTGGAGCGGGACAAATCTTAAGAACAGTACTCTTCGAATTATATCTATGCTGCCAAGAATACAGGAACATGTAACTGGGTAACTATATGAGAGAAATTTCGAAACACCTGGATTCAGTGGTTTGTCTTGTCGGTCTATGCTCAGCAGTTCTGA